TTTCTTGGCTTGAATCTTGAAATATAATGAATATTATTCAATAAATTTGTATAATTTGTCTTTGGTTGATGATTGCGCCTTGTTCTTTGCTTCCAAAATAAGTAAAATGTGTGATTTTTAGGTCAAAATGAGGTCTTCCCCTTATTCTGATCGAGTTTGGTATATATATGATGCCTAAAATATTGTTACCAAAGTAGAGTTTCAATAGAAAAATGAAATAAAATCTCGCCAAAGGTTTAAACTTAAGAATTAAGCCACTTGTACCGGTTGAGGTTGACAAAATTCGTACATATAACTCACATGGGTGGGTCCCGCATGTAATAAAAAATTGCCCAAAAAATCCCATCCACCCACCCACCCACCCCTATTGTGAGGTGCCGGTGGGGGTTCGGTGAACCCCCACCCGGTACACCTAGCATTGTTGTAAACTTAAATTATCTTGGTTTAATTATATTATAAGGTGAGAAGTAAAATTGTATGATGTATACTGTCAACCATGAGGTGTGTTGGAAATTTAATAAAGAAGAATATAGATTGGATAAGAAATTGATTAATAGATATGGGTATATATACTTGTGTATTGAATGGAATGAAAAATGAAATAGTCACACTATTTGATTTAGCATCAACAAAAAGTTATTTATTTAACTATTATTTTATTCCCAATGTTTTCCATATGTAAAATTTAATTAATATTTTTTTTTGTTGCTTTGTTTAGAAATGTATATTTGTCGATGAAGTAAATTTCTTGAATTTTTTAAAATTTTAGTTCTACTAACATATATTATGTAGTCAAGTTTAATTGTTTTTTAATTATCGATATATTTATTTAAACATAATATGTAATTTTTTGATTTTTGTTTTATTACCAACTAGATTTCTCGTGTAAGTAGATATAATAATTTGTAATAGTTGAGTACAATTGAACAAGTGCAGTATTTTATCCCAGTATGTATTATAGTAATAAAAATTGATATCTCTGAGGCACCGTTGATGGACTATTTAAATAGATAATAGACATGTCCCATAAAGTAGAATAGAAATAACTGGTAAATTAGTTTTGAACAAATCTTTCCTTTTCTTATCGACAAATTTCTTATTATAAACAGTAAAATGGACTTTTTGCAAGGGCACAGAAGGAGTATTGAGAGTTGAATCGAGCAGCTCCGAATTTAAATTGTGAGGGCAGAAAACATTGTAGCAAAGAAAATTGTGTGAAGCCTTGAGGGCATGGTTATTAAGCCCGAACGTGATTGATCAATTG